CCACCATTACTTTCTAAACAAACACTAAACAATTATAACATTGGCATTTGGTTGAATAAACTATGTACTTATGTATGTTAGATTTTAATGTTTATAAAAATATTGATTTGTATTAGTTTTACACAATTAGGGTTTAAAAACCTAAACTAAATTTTATTTCACAAATAAGAGGAATTGCGGCATACATTAAATTTGGTTTTGCTCTTAATGAGTTGTACGGAAAAGTAATGCTTTTAAGGTTTTCTCCTTGGAAAATAGGCTAAATATTTGTTGATTATTATTTAAAATGTATTAAAAATAAAAAATTAAATACGAAAAAGAGTATACAAAATATTGTAGCCATGCAAGTTGCATGGGCAGGGTACAAAGTCAAATTAATAGGATGGTTGTCTAACCACATTTTGTTGACTCTCATGACTTAACATTTTCTTATAATAATTCTAATTATTTTTTACAATATTATAATTTATCGTAATATTATTTTTCTACACCATTTCACTGGAGAAATATTAAATTAGAAATATGTCAGAAATTTTATGCTTTGTAACGTGTGAATATCAGGTTGTATTATTAAAAAAAAGTCCAAACATATATTTTATAACGTTTAAGTTTTTGTTTGGTTTAAATTTAAAAATACAAAAAACTTACACAACTGTAGACTATTTTCTATATGTAAACAGTGAGAAAAAAATATAAGAAATATAATTTAAATTATTTGTATAAATTAAAATTAATTTATACACAATTTTAAAATTATATTTTAGATAGATTAATATAATTTAACTACACTTAAAAAAAATAGAAGCAGAAAGCTTAGTATATACAAATTAAAAAAAAAACAATTTAAATAAAATATATCGAGATAAGATTTTAAATATTGATTATAACGACGTTTTGTTAAACGGAATCGATCAATTTTTTATTTTTTCACTTGTCAGAAGTGAATGATGTCACACCTTACGATGTAATTGAGGAGACAACAATTATCCATAGACATGGTAATGATTCTATTTAAAAAGTGAGGAAGCACGTGGGCAAGCATTGTACACTTCAACCTTTTTTCTAATGCCAAATTAATCATTCTTTTGTCGAGAGATAAAAAATAATATATATATATATATATATATATATATAAATTATTCTTAATTTTATTTAAAAAAAATATAAATTATTCATTAACTTTTAAATAATATGGAATACGTCACCACAACCACAACGTAATCTAAAATTAATTAAAACTAGTTAGACTTATTAATGTTTTGACACTAAAATTTGGTTCATGTCACTGTACTTCTTATAGCTACACTTTTTTATGTTTAAATAGATTATAAGCTGTTATTAAATTAACGTAGAATCCATTTTAAAACGTAATATATTATTATATTATTATATTTTTAATTGATATAATTTTATTATCTAAGAGATTTTTTAATAATTTTAATATTATTAAATTTGATTTTTATATTATATTAAAAATTATGAAATGTATACTTCAAATTTATAAAATTGATTGAGAAAAAACATTTTTAAAACAAATATTTATAAATAATATTTTTTTCTTTAAATTGTACTTATTTTATCATGTGACTTTTAAATAATTCATATTAAATTTTATAAGTTTTGTTTTTTATACTCACTCACATTTTTATAATACTTTTATTTACAATTTACCTTTTGATAATTTTAAAATGATTTAATTATTATAATTAAATATTAGTTTAATATAATGTTTTAACATAAAAATAAATAAAAATATTATATATTGATTTTGATATATATATATATAAATATTTCCTATTACAAATAACAATTATATAATAAAAATAAATAACAAAAATTATGAATTATTTATAACTATAAATAAATATGCTATTTTTGTATCTTCATATTCAAAATATCATCAATCAAATATTTTTCAGGTACTCCAATCATCATAAAAAGTAAATAAACTAATATTTATAAATAAATATTATATATATATATATATATATATATATGTATATACCTATTTTCAACATTTAGAATATAAATTTTTATAAAGAAAAGTTTGATTTAGATAGGTGAACATTTTAATTTATTTTTCAAGAGTACAAACATAAAAAATAATAATAAAGAGAGGGAATTGAGAATTTTGATTAAACAAATCAAATTCTTTTTAAGTAATTATATATATATATATATAATTATTAAGAATTCAAGGATGCATGGTTTTTTTTATTTGATAGATGTAAGTAGATAAAATAATTAGTTAAATAATTTTTGAAATTATTATAAAAGAAATTTTATTTATTTATTTATTGATATATATTTTTGAATATATTTTCTTGTTACATAGATAAATTTTCCTATAATTACTTATAAAATATAATAAATGAAATATCTTATATTAATATGATCTAAAATAAAAATTATACTTATTTTCTTTGTACTATTGGTATCAGTATGAGAAACAGTAACTGAGTGAGACCATCATAGCATAAACATGTACTGACACACACTGCACTGTAATTTGAGTGCTCATTCAATGGATTAGATCGGATCCAAATTCTTTTGGACAGTAGCAGTTCCAATAAACAAAGCTTTGCAACCTCGAATTGCCAAATTTCCACTGTCACGTGTGTTGAAGAGGCACGCTCTTCTAGTGGGCAATGAGTACATTACTAATCTGACAAACATGGATGAAACAAGAAACCTCCATTTTTTATTCATGCCTGCATTTTTATACACATTTGCCACCACTTTCTCAAGAAGTTCATGGACACAAGAGTAAAGGGTCAAAATAAATAAGTCAAAGTGAGAGGATTGAGGCATGTTAACGTTCATCTCAGCACTTTCTCTCTTCATCTTGAAACTTCTACTTATATTCTATTGTGTTCACAGGTACCTAACTTTGTTTATTATAATCCTGCGAGTCACCTATCGATTTCACCGCACCATAAACGTAACATGTTAGATTCACTTAAAAGAAAACAAAGGCATGATTACCATGTACCCTCATATACTTATTGAAAATCTAAACAGATTCATGTCATCACGTACTACGTACCTTTAATTTCTAAATATAATATGAATCTAACACTACTATCTTTATTTCATTAATTAATCAGTCTAATCAAAATTATTTTGGAATATTCCTGAATCCATGTTATTTAAAAGTTCACATAATATATGATTTATATTTCAATTCAATAGATCAACCTACTCTACAAAACATTAAAATCAAAAAATAAAAAAACAAATAAAAAAACTATATAGAGATATAAATATAATTTTACTATTTTTCTTTTATATACATCATCTCCTAATCATGTACTCGTAACTTGCAGAAGCATAAAATATAGATAAAAAGAACAAAAATAATATACGAAGAGGGAAGAAAAGTACGTGATGTATACGATTCGTTTCATTATATGACTATAATGGAGAAGGCTATGTACATTTCTTGTATTTTATTATTCTCCAATATTATATATATATATATATATATATATATATATATATATATATATATATATATATTAGTTTATTGTGTCACTTATTGGTTTTGTCATCAAAGTTTTAGCTGTATTCTTTGTATTTGAGTGAAATACAAGTTATTTTATGATGTTTATTACGTCTATTTTACTTAATAATTAATGCGTAATGTTAACATTTATCAATAATTTTTAGACCATGTTTTGTTTTTTAAATATTTTTGTGTTTAGCATTATTTAGAAGTTCAATGAGTCCATGTCAAGTTAGGTGAAATGTACTAATAATGCATTGTTTTGGTTAATTTTAGAGGAAGAAATATTATTAATAAATAATATATTATTAATAAATAATAAATAAATATAAAAGGAAGAAAGAAGATGAGAGGGTGAAAGATAAAATTGTAAATATATACTTAAATATATTAAATGATCATTAAGTTTGAGGGAAACAAAATTATAAATTATACGAAAGTTACAAAACTGAGAGGATAAAATTGTAAATATACAAATAAATATATTAAATATTCATTAAGTTTAGAGGACCAAAATCATAAATTACATGTGAGTTACAAAACTTTGGGAGCCACGACCCCTTCAACTCTCGAAAAGAAAGGGAATAGTGAGCTTCAACTCTCGAAAAGAAAGGGAATAGTGAGAATTGAGTTTAATAAGTGATTAACAATGAAAATTTGTTGGAGTGGAGAAAAATAAGAAAAGAAAGAAAATTTTATTGACCGTGTTGAAAAAACATTTCCCTGAAAGTTAAGAGAGAAAACAGTGAGAAACACTAACATTTAGACATATAATATAAGAATAATTATAGTAGAAATAATAATATAATAATAGTAATTAATCTTATTCAATATTTAAATTTTTAATTAAAATTTTAAAATAGACCATAAAACAAAATCTCTTTCGTAATTTGATTTAAGAATATAAGAAGTCACATAAAGTCTTTCCATTATTTTAATTTTAAATATACAAAGGTAATTTTAGACAAGCATAAGATATTAAAGTTATAGTTAAATGCATGAATTCACCATCTTGATTATTTGCAAAACTCATCATGAGTTATTAATACTAAAAATTGTAAGTTTTTACATTTACAATGAAACCAGAAACGTAACTTAGAACACAAGCTTGATGATCCAATGTTGTTATCCAATGTATATCCATTGAAGAGCTTCATATAATCCCCAAGCTTCTGCTGCATGCACTTCAGGAATTCCATGGCATGATGATTTTGCAGAGATAAAGTCACCATTTTGGTTTCTTCGACACCAATTCCAAAGCAATTGTAATGCTTGAAAATGGCAACATCTATGTTGGCATGTAAAACAACATTTGACTTGTTTTTCCAATATGGAAATACTAATTTTCAATCTTTTTGTGAACACACTAGTGATGAGAGGATGGGGTGATGAGGGTGAAAATGGTGCATTCAATGGAGTATGAATAAATAAATAACATTGGGTTTTGGTCAAAGATTGAGATAATATTACCATGAAATTCCGTGGGGCATGCGGCATGCCCATTGGGCCTGGGCTGGAGTGGGCAAGCCTCGTAAATATCACCATCGACATGGTCACTTTTACATTCGACCTTTTTCTGTTTCAATTCCTGTCTTGTCCTTCTCTTCCACCTTCACTCCCTCCGTTCCTTCGTCCTCTCACACACACACACACACACACACACAGTCTCTCTCAAACTCACTCACAAATTCGAATCAAATTCAGAATACCGCTAGGGTTAGGGTTTCCAACTTCCCTCCAATTCTACCTGTAATGCACTGCGATTCCGGGGCCCTACCATGGAGCCACCTACAATGTACGGACACTCCCAGCCCCTGAACATGCCCCCACAGATCTCTGCGGCCGAAAGCGACGACGGCTCTGGCGCCGACCCCACCCTCGACGCCCACCATCACCTTCACTACGACACGCACGCGCTCGAAGACGGTGCCGCCGGGGGCGTCGTCGTTGTCGAGGATGTCACCTCGGATGCGGTTTACGTCTCCGGTGGTGGAGGCCCCGAAGAGTCTAGCCAGCTTACGCTTTCGTTTCGTGGCCAAGTTTACGTCTTCGATGCCGTTACGCCTGATAAGGTGCAAATTTTCCCCCTTTTCTCTTTCAAATTTAGTTTTCCTGATTTTGTTATTCTGTTTTATCAAATTTCTTCAGTGTTTCGTTGTTCTGGCGTTGCAATTTTATGATTTTCTTTTTATTTTTCTGGTTTTTGGTCATTCGTTGAATTGAGGAGCAGAGTGTGAATTTATTTATTTAATTATTTTAAAAAGTTTAATCTGTTTTTGCCTACACCTAACAGGTTCAAGCCGTGTTGTTACTGTTGGGTGGATGTGAACTGTCTTCGAGTGGTTCGCCATGTGTGGATGCGGTGCCTCAACAGAATCAGAGGGTATAATGTTATTCACACACGCTTGCACTTGCATCACTTTACAATTTATTTATTAGTAATATCATCTGATGCAGGGTACTTTGTCCCACCAGATATTGATACCGTGGGGCTTTGTAATTTGTATGTTTATTAATCGAAGTCAGGTAGTAAATATTAAACAATAACTTTGCTGTTGGGTGTTAATCAACTTAAAGCTATCTAGTGGGCAGACCTAGTATTGGTTTACAAAATTTGTTAATATTTGGTCATTGGTGGTACATGTATTGATATCAGTTATTATCGTTGTTAGGTTACTTAGTCAATGATAAAGTGATGTGTCAGTATTCATTAATGTTCAAGTACTCAGTGCTAAGTAGTATTTTCAACTTTTATGGGTCTTGCTGCAGGGTTCCATGGAATATCCTGCAAGATGTAGTCTACCACAACGAGCTGCCTCGTTAGATAGGTTCAGGCAGAAAAGGAAAGAGCGATGCTTTGATAAAAAAGTGAGATATAGTGTACGGCAAGAAGTTGCGCTCAGGTTTGATAATTAGCACCCTGTGGTTTGTAATAGATATAAACTTGGGAGTATTTGATTGAACTATTTGAACATGCACACAGTTGTTTACGACTTGAATTTAGAAGTTGACACTTTGCGTATGACAAATCCACCATGTTTGTGATGATTGGGAATGAGTTTGCTATTTTGCTTCAAATCAAGTAATTGAAAAGTAGTAATTATAATATAATTGAGAAATATGCTGAACAATTGAAATGATAGCAGACTGGAGTTTGGACTTTATTTTGCAAAGTACTGTGTTCGCTTTGAGCTACATAAAATGTGTTGAACTGGTTGGGAGTTGGTGAAATTACGGCCAGAGCCTATCCCTATAAACTACTCTATATTACAGAAATATGTGCTTTTAAACTGCTGTCTCATTTTGAAGCTTTGACTAGCATATAGAATTTAGTTAGAAGACATTAGTATTACCCAATTGATTCTCTGCCAATCATGTATGCGGGAAATTTAACTTGGTAACTATGGAAAACCTAAACTAGAAAGAATCTTGTCCTAAACATATATTTAAGCCTTTTTTTTAATTGAAAATGAAACTTGCTTTATATTTATTACCAGATTTGTAAAGCTACTCCATGGTATCTCTTGTGAATGACTGATTTTGATGCAGAGATTTTAAATTTGCATGAAAGATTTTATTTTAATCTTATGTTCCTAATGATATGAGACAAATATCAACCCATAGACATAGTGCGGCTAGCAAGAGACTGCCTTCCTTCTCTTAGGCAACATTTTAATTCACTAAGAATTTTTGAATAGGGTGTAACAGCATCATCCTTCAGTACATTGGAATATTGGGTGGATGTTAAATTGATAGTTTAAGTGCATGTCTGTTTTGTAGTTGAAAGAGTTCAAAACCCAGTTGAGACCAAGCCACCAAGACACACATACTTTTCTGTATGAGTACATTGAAAGTAGTGAAACCTTCAAACCAAACACACCCTAAATCTGCTAGAGTGAAGGCTGAATAGTGCCTTGTGATTTGCTTGGTATATGGGTATGTATAGCTGTTTGCATTGTTTTAACAAATGACTTGAATTCAACTGATATCAACTTTCCTAGTGTGAACTTTTCATGGACTCGATATTGCTTCCCTATGCACCAAAATGAATCTTTCATAAATCCCTTTATTTTTACATATTGTCTATGTTACCCTCTTTTATTGTCATTTATAATTTTAGCTGTTATATGTCATTGGTTTCAGTGTTTATTTTATACTTATTTGATTTATATATGTAGGATGCATCGCAATAAGGGTCAATTCACTTCTTCTAAGAAACAAGATGGAGCTAATAGTTATGGTACAGACCAAGATTCAGGACAGGATGATAGTCAATCAGAAACCTCGTGAGTTTTGTGTTAATTGTTTTAATTTAGCCAACAATTTTATTCTTTCTGAAATTGTTGCTCGAGTTTCTAGTGTTGCCCTTTCAATTTCTGTCTATTCTTGGCTCAGGGCTTATTTATTTTCCTTTACTGGGAGGTTCCTAACTATATGTTTTATCATTTCTTTGTTGCATGTTTCTACAGATGCACACATTGTGGGATTAGTTCAAAATCGACCCCAATGATGCGGCGAGGGCCATCTGGTCCAAGGTCACTTTGCAATGCTTGTGGACTTTTTTGGGCAAATAGGGTAGGTATTTTCATCATATTGCTTTTGTTTTTGGCAAAAGATTTATTCACAAGTTTTAATTCATTTTTGGATGTATATATTGTTATAATCAAATAAATTTTACGAATGACTACTGAGTAATAACTGATATATACATTCTCAAGCATGGCCTGCTCTTTTACTTCAGTTGTATTGGAATTTGGAAGGGGTTGATTTATAAAACCCCTACAATTTCGTTTTTTTTTTCTTTCTCTTTCTGTATTTGCAGTAAGATTTTTAAAATTTATTGCCGCTTTAATGTCCATATTTGAAGTTGAAGTGTAGCTACATACGTCATCCAATAACCACACTGAATATGACGTGAAATGCAAATGACCTAAAGCTCATTTCCTCTCCCTGCGGCATTTTTTGATTTGACAGTGGGGAGACAATATCTGGGTGTCTCAATAAAGTGAGGGAATCGTGTATTGTATGTGGTGTTTTCTGGCACTATTTGGAATACCAAAGTCTTCGGATGTCTTGTTGAAATTTCTTCTGAACTCATTTTGAACTTTTTTTTCTTATACTAAATTCACAGGGTGGCAATTTAATTTTTCCCCTTTATATTCAAGGCTGTGTAATCTTGCATCGCGGAAGGTGCAAATATATTCTTTATGAGCATCAATTCAAATTGCTCAATTGAAATTAACTTTTCGCTGATTGCAGAGTTGTAAGCGTTCCAACTTTTGACAACGTTATTGTGCAGGGTGCTTTGAGGGACCTTTCCAAGAGAAATCATGAACACTCTCTTGCACCGGTTGAGCAGGCAATCTTTCATTTATTATCTATTAATCCGAATGGTAATATGTGGCATCCCCTTACCCTTTTGTTTTTTGCATCTGATAACTACCAGGTTGATGAAGGTAACGACTCAGATTGTCGGACTGCCACCAATCCTGCGCATGACAATCATGGTGCATACTCAGAGCATGATAATCCAGCATTGGTTGCTGATCGTAAAGTTTTCCAGTCTCAGAAAATGCTGGAGTAGTCGACTCTGGCATTTGTAGGTTTATAGTGATTTCATTCAGATTGACCAATAGAATGTACAGATATAACAAACTCCCATCAATGCAAGAACTTTGTTTATATGCGTGGATCGCTGGCAATTGTCACCCTTGATTGATACCTTCAATTTCAAGTCTTACCTTCCATTTTTTATTCACTCGGCACATTTTAAAATACATAGAAAGAGGGCTACTATTTTTTGCACAGGAAATATTATTTTTACCTTCGGAATTGCCTTAATCCCAAAAACACCAATTCTATAGTGTCGTTTTTTTCACATTATTAATTAATTAATCAATATTATAAATGGATTTTTTTAATTGATTTATGACTGAATCATTATTCAAACTCACTTTACACTAACTTATCTTATCATGAATATTATTGTTTTTTATACATCTTTTTGTTTCAGTTTAATAATAAATTTTGAGTTTGAGTCTTACATATGCTACTGGATTAAATACTTGGAAAACAAGCAAATGGCCAATTGAATGTACAACAAATTACATTTTCTTAATTAAGAAGTATTGAAGAACACTATTATATTTTCATTGGATAAATAAAAATTTGTTGCACATACCCTTTATTTTCGGTCAAAACTTTACTATCGGTGGCATTTACACTTCTTACTTTTTTTTCTTTAATTAATTCCTTCATTTGTTAATATTTATTTTTAAAAGTTTATCAACCCATTTTTCAATTTGTTACTAAACGAATATGCATAATTAATATTTTAATCAATTATATATAGATTTCTCACGAACTTTTAGTCATTGTTTGTTTCAAATATATTTAATGCATTCAATTATCATTTAATAATAATAATAATTAATATAAGTTATGTTTATTATATATATTTTTAGTATTGACATTGTTATTAATATATTAATAAGCAGAATGCATTTTTGTCGTAGAGGAGAATTTATTCTCTTTCTCAAATCATTTATTAGTATTAATAGACAATCCATACTCATCTCATAACAATTTTTTGTTTTTAAATTTTTTATTAATATTAAATTATACTTATATTTAATTATTACTATTAAATAATAGTTTAAGTTTGTTATATATATATAATATTAATAGTGTTATTAATATATTAATAACAAAATGCATTTTGACTAATTAGAAGATAATCAATTTTTCTTTGTTTTTAAATTTGTTATTAATATTGAATTATACTTATATTTAATTATTACTATTGACTTATAATTTGGATTTATTATATATATATATATTTAGTATTAATAATGTTATTAATATATTAACATTAATAAACTTTTTATTTATTAGTCTATTAATGATAAATTAATAATTTAATAATTATCAATTATTTAAAATATTTTATAATATATAAATATTTGATATGATTTTATAAGTTAATTGTAAAATATAACATAATTATAAATTTTAGTGAAAATAATATATAAATTAAATAATCAATGTTAAACAATATATTTCAATAATCTCGATATTAATACTAATAATATTGGAAAATATTAATTTTAATTTTAAAAAATAAATATTAATATATAAAAAAGAATAATATTATTGGTGTATTAATACTTTAAACAAAATAATAAAAAATTAGATGAAATAATAATACATAAATAAATAAAAATATTAATTTATTATTTTTATAATGTATTTAGTTATATATATTTTTTTCATTTTTTACCTTATATAATTATTTTTATATGAAATCTACTAAAATAATTATTTTAAAAATTATTGTAAGATGATTTTAATTATTAGTTTAAAATAATTTTAATGTGAAACAACATAAAAAAATTAACGTGGATAAACAACTTTTTAAAACTTTTATATTTAAATAATAACCCACATCTCATTTTTAACATAATTTACTTTAATTATATTTTATTTTAAATTATATTTTTAAGACAAGTCTTACCATTTTATTAACTAAAACATTTATTTTAGTCAATCAACCCAGTCACATCATTCACAAACTTTCATAGACATTCCTCTTATTTTTTATTAACTTTCCCTTAATTCAAACAACTTCACCCTCTTAAATCCATCTTTAAATCCAAACATAAGTTTAATGCTTTTTAACTAACTCATATAATAGGACCTTATATAGATTTATGTTTTTATTAACATAAACATGTTTGATTGAACATATTAACATTTTAATTTCAAATAATTTAAGAATAATTCATTTGTAACCAAGAATAAATGTGGGAATGGTTAGCCAAGCTTTCCCTCATCAACAAATTTTGGGTGAATTGTAATTTTGTTCCTTACGTTGTGTAAATTCTATTTTGGTTCCTATTTTGGTTATCTAATAATTTTATATTTTATTATATGAGTATTATATATTTATGCATTATAAATATTGTTGTTGACTTATTATTACTTAAAAACATTCAAAATATGATTTTTTTAATAAGTAATTTAAAAACTATCCAACCTAATCTAATTATAATTGGATTGAATTGATTTAATTTATCAAATAAAAGAAATAAATCTGACCCAATCTTAATCTAATTAAACTTAATTAGATTTGAGTAGATTGAAATTTAGATCAAAATTCGACCAATCCAAGTCATTAATGACCATTGCCTTCAATCTCAGGACCATTGCCTTCATTTAATGACAGTTAGAGAAATTTATTCTTGCCGTACAATACAAATATTTGTCCTATAATTTACCTTTTAATTTTAATTTTAATTTCTAAGTTATTAATCTAAACAAACTTAAATTAGTTATTAATCCTAACGCTTTAAAAGAAAGAAATAAATGATGGGTAATTTAAAAAATTGATTAAATTTATTGAAAAAAAATTATCGATCAAAATTGTGAATTTTTGTAAAATATAGAAACCGAAATTACAAATAAGTTTAATTTTTTAAATCCAATAGTTAAAAAACAAATTACTTTTTATACTATGAATAACATAAGATTTCTATAATCAAATGAAGTTTTTTCTTTTTAAATGTTTTTTACGTGGAATATTTGATAGTTAAGTTAGGAATGACTATAAAAGTTTGAGAAGAAATTAGCGACTCTTATTACTTAAATCTTTTTGCATAATAAAAGATATTCAGATTTTTTGGTCTCCTCCAAAATATGGAAATGCACTTAAATAAATACTGTTAAAATTGAATTCTTGTCCATCACAGAGTTTATTATTTCTGAAAATTTCGGAAAGACTACTTCTTATATATTGGGCAACCATTGGTGGTTTATTATTGGTGCCTTCACAAGTGTTTTTATTATAGTACATATCACTAACTATTTATTCTACCATTTTGTTTCCTAATTCAGAAAAAAAATTTGAAGCACTAGTTTGTAATGTAAATCTATGCCAAAGAGAATAAACATTGACATAATACACAACTTTGACATAATAATCAAACATCTACGTGGAATCATGTCACCTTTAAGCTTTCATTTTCTGAATATCAAGAGCCCAACATTGCAAATTTACCAGAACTAAGTTGATGGAGAAGAGAAGAATAACAACAATTACACTGAATAGACATGAATATCAATTATGCGTTATCCAAATTTTAATTGAAGTCCAAAGCTCTATATATCCATCTCTGGTGTCCTACCCTTTACTTTTTGTGTTCAGTGTTTATCTGCTGATTTAGTCATTAAAGAATCAGATAAAACGTGCTTCATGATGAGCATAAAAGTAAGAATTGTTGCTTTACATAACCGATTCACTTAAACCTTCATCCGATGAAGATCCACTCGAAGAATCACTGTCAAATAAAATGATCTCTTCTTTTGGAGATGATGGTTGTGCTTCTGGTAGTGGTAAGGGAGCACCTGTAAAAGAATGGCTACTCAGTCCTTGAGCTATTAAGTGACCGGTTGCAATACATATAAATAAGCAAGACTAAGATTTGTTTAGTTATTTAATTATTTATCTATTTTGCGTTAGATTTGATTTTTCATGGTTCTTAGTAATGCATGATAAATCTGGATTTCAACTTTTCATGTGGGAGATATGATATCAGTACAGTTAACTACAATGAAGAAAAAAATACAGTTATTTTGAGTATCAGTAATTTCTACTATAACTGTTCGTTGTAACAAAGAGATAATGCAATCTAAGAGTTAAAAATATTCAGTCCTTATATATCTTTATGTCAAAAGCCTAAGAAGTAATGTATGGTGTGTTACACTTGATTGTTGAGGTTTAGCTTACGTTTCTATATTTGCATGGTTTCACAAGTGTATCAGTGTATGGATTGTGTCCTTATGCGTCGGTCATGATCCAAATATGGGTCGTGACATTTTTTAAATATAAGAAAAAAATAGTTTTTCAACAACAGTATCAAATGAGTTATTAAACATTTTAATTTTGTAACTATAGTATCAAATAAGCTTGTTTTAAAGATTGTACTCAAGAAGGCAATATAATCCAAATCTTTTAGGGTATTCAACCTATTCAGATGAAGAGTGGATAGAAGAACACATGGTAAACAAAATAATGGACAATCCTGAGCTGAAAAATATTAGTGTTAGGGAGAGATTAGATACTTCATTGAATTCTTGGCCATTTTGACTTGCTGGTTTTTTTTTTTTTTTCTTTGAGGAGGATTTCCTTTCCTCACAGTTGAGATATATTAGTAACATTCTTTTTGACATAGTATTTGTTACAAGTTGAATTTTATAGGAATTCACAAATTTTGATAGCTTCCTCTATACATTTAATGATTCATCTAATTTTATAATTTTTCATAAACTTTAACTAATAATAAAATATATATTAGAAAAAGCATGTTAGAAGGTGTGTTACTAGCCGCTTTTGAGTTAGAATCTCCTTTTCTTCTATTTTTTTTATCTAAATAATCTAAATAATTTTTTATTATCCACAGATCATAATGAGTAAAGTAGTAAAAAAAATAAAAGTAACATGTAAGTGAGTCTAGAACAAACCTTTTTGTTTAGCCTGCAACTTCTTGGTCTGCTTCCTAATAAGCTTTTTGGCTTGTGAGATGGTGAGCTGCCTAGCAAAAGGAGAGATCTCGGTATCATTTTCATTCAAATCCCCTTGAAGTTCATTCTCTCCGTCATTTTTCATGGTCTTTTGCACAAATGCCTTTGCCTTGCGGCGTTGATGACTAAATATTCCTTTGATGGATGTTACAAATCCATCACCAGCTCCATCAGTTGGACGCTTAGGAAAAGCTGGTGGAAGCTTATCAGATTTTCCTCCTTGCCCATCAATGTCAGCAGAAGTAACGTCCAATTCTGGACCACTAGTACTAGGGAACTGAAACTGACCTTTGTCTTTAAATTTCTTACCCTGCATGATCCATGATAATAAGACATTTAATGAATTAAGCAGAATCAGTTGATTGTCACCAACTTGAGTACAAAGGGTATGGAAAAAACTAAATATTGCTGCGGGAAATTGTACATAGCATCACAATGTATAAGCTAAAGTGAATAATTATCTTCCTAAAATAAGGCTAAATCGAAGGTAATTAACCTACTGGTGAAATTGGGGTGAATTTAAGTTTAGTGTTGACAATTGAATCGAATTGATAATCAAACAGAATTACTGGTTCAATTTGTCCTAGGAAATTGTGTTTTTTAATTTCTATCTTGTGAATAACTTGTCATTTATTACATTTTAATCTTCATGCCTATAAATTAAAAACTTGCCAATTGTATACTCACTCAAGCCAATTCGGAAACTTCCCTCGATTTTTTATTTCTCACATGGTAGGAGCTTCTGATCTAGGGGATTCAGCTTCAGCAACAAAGACACTCAGAAGAAGGTCTGGCTGGGCACTTAAGCTCTCAGAAACCTTTGAACTTGTCTTAGAATTGAAACTTAGGCCTAACTCAACCCCAAAAGCTAGTTCAAGAGATTCTTGTATAGAATGTATACTATTTTAGGTACAATGAGATAAGTTAGGTTGGGAAGCTAAATATATCTTTGTCACCAGACTAGATATATACTTTCCAGGCAGTGTAGTTAGTCATACTCGAGTCATGGGATATTTAGAAATAGATTGGGCAAGGTTTCCTAAATATAGGAGATTCACCTCCATATATTGAATTTTTTTTGGTAGTAACATTTCTTGGAAAAGTAAGATACAAAATTTTGTAATGAGGTCCAGTGCAGAAGCAGTGTAAAGTCATTGCTTTAAGCTTGTACATTATTTGGCTCAAACAGTTGACACTGATCTGTGATAATTAGGATGCCTTGCATATTGCTTCTTATCTGCTATTCCATGAGAGGATTAAACATATTTAGGTTGATTAGCACTTCATTAAAGAGAAGATTTATCGGGTGATGTCACCATTGATTTTCTGAATTCCATTGACCAATTGAGAGATATCTTCAGCAAGTCTTTCGGGGGTCCTTGGTGCATATGATTTTACATGCTTCAACTAGACAGGAAGGGTCGGATATAGTTATATATTTGTAATGAAGGTAATTCTCTGAAAGGAACTGAGAGTTATGTGTAGAAAATAATTACTTTAGAAATATGTTCTGTATTAATAACTTAAGTATGACAGTTACGTATTAGAATCTGAAGGATGACAGTTATGGTTGAAAATAACTGCTGGTAGTTATGTATTAGAGTATATATCTAATTGTGAATTGTTAATCAGGGGTTTGAAGATTTTTGTAACTTGGGCAAAGAGTACTCCCTGTAGGAGACTTTTGTCTCTTTGGCAGCAATTGCATTTATGTATTTGTATGTGATAGGAGACTTTTTGTCTATGGGACACCGAGTGTTTTGCTGTGTTGTGTGATAGATTTCCGTGTTCTATCTTATATTTTATTATTTTCTGGATCTACGCAACTACGGTAAGTAGACAATGATATTTGTAGTTATGTCGAGTCGAGTATTTTCTTTTCCATTCAACAATTGGCAAAATCCATTTTAATGTGAATCACAGAAACAACAATTTCACTCAAGTTTGTTTTAGAATGTGATCATAAATTTGCAGTGGTAGGTAGGTATGAATGACTATCTACAAAGATAAGCACAATAAGTATACATTCATTCTTGTTAACAATAAAATAAAAGGAAAACAGGAAATTGTAGGTGGTTATTCACCTGCATTCCAGTCACAGACTTAAGGACTCCCCATATGATATGCTTCTTAACTCGAGAGAAGAGTCTTCGCCAAGTCCCAGTAAACTCAACTCGCTGAAATTGATCCATCAATAATTTCATATCACTCACAACAAATCTTGACCCTTCATATGTAACACACAGTTCCACCTGCAAGCAAGATCATAGGATTTATAAGAAATTATAATTATTTCAACATAGGTCTCACATGTGATTAGTGACAACTTCATCAAATGATCCAAAACTAATACTAACCTGGCTAATTTTGATGTTGCTAAATTGCATTATCTTTTGTGGTCTAGCTTTCTTCTCTTCTAGTGGCATACCTGCCTTCTTTTCTTCATCAGCTACAGATTCTGCTACAGTCTCGTCCTTGGATTTATCAGACGAAGATGTCCTTTTCAACTCCGGGGTTTGAGCAGTAGCAGGGTTAGCTTTGGCATTTGGTGCTTTGGATGCCTGCAAGCATGTTACCAAGCTCATTGCTGTAAATCTATCTTGATTTTTAAAACATTTTAGACTTGGATGGTGAGGATAAAACAACAAAAGGAGAAGAAGCTACGTTCGTCTCTAACTTTTCTACGAATGTTGTATGGCATTAGCCTTCCCAGGTTATTTTATTATTAGGGGAATTCTAACAAGTAGCAATACATTTCTTGATACTCTCTTTCCAATACTTTCGCCACTATTTCCCTCTATATAATTGCTCCACTCTCAATTTGTGGGCCAAAATGAAGAATTTGTTGTTAGCATTTAGCTTAATATTATTACTTGAGAACCATGTACATGAGAATAAACTCACTTGGGCTGAATCAGCTTGGGAAGCAGTCTGCATGACTGTGGGAAATAGCATTGCAGAGAAGCCAGTTCTTACTGGGGCCTCCGTGCCTGAACCTTTTTTGTCACGCCTTGCACCAGCTGTGGTTGAAACCTTCCAAACTTCCTACATATGCAATCATACCTTTAACTTAGATCATAAAATATGAATGTTATCATTCTTGTGGTAACAGGTCAAATGAAATTATTAATTAACCTGTCGGCGTTGTGAGTCCTTCTTTTCTTCTGGGAAGAAATACACCCACATCATTCTGTACATTGTTTCTGTCAAATGGATCTTAAGGGGATAAATGTCTACCTGTAGAGTAAAGTGTGTTCATGTTAGGAAACAAAAGGCACAAGTATTGGCTTTCCCAGTAAACATCTCAAATAATATTTAATTGTGCACTCATCTCATTTTGTACTCAAACAGATTCTCAGTTCTCCATACGATGGTATATTTGAGTTTTTTTATCTGTTAGTTCAACTGTCAAAGTAATGTAGCTATAGCTGCGTCCAATAACTCTGGGTTTGGTTTACTGTACAATAACAAGTTCTAAAATTAGAGAAACAAATTCCCTCTCTCTCTTTTGGGCTGGGTCTATTTACAAAAATTCTAACAAAAGTATTACACATGGTCTCAGTTTTAAGAATATGACAGGAAAAAATATGAATAACCCAAAATAGAATTAAGGGATGGATTCTATTATTCTCTAATGAACTTTGCTAGGAGAAAAATTACCATAGTGAATCACTTACCTGGAAAAGTTCAAAGGGAGAACTTCCATCCTTAGGAGCTCCCTGTCTCGCATCAAGTCTAACCATCACTTTTCTGAAAAAAAGAAGCAAACATGCAATATCAAGGTACCCAGAAGATATAGAAAACACAAAACACACTAATCTTTATTGCAATAGAAAAAGGTAACACCAATCTTATAATCAAATAAATTACTAAGAGGCAAAGTTTGTAATTTTGGTTGTACTTTTTCAGGTACTTTCTGTATGCCTTTTCAGTAAAAATGAGGGAGTACCACAGAAACCAAAGGGCTGAAATGATGCAGTTAAACTTGAACTTAAAACTAATCATAATATAACTAGAAATTAAGACATTGGGTGGAACATCAAAGCAAAAAAGATCAGAAAATCTAGTTGGAAGAATCAGTAGTTGAAGAAAAAGGCCTGAATATAATACATACTTTCCCCAATCGGGTGGGGGATTCCATGCTGACAGAATTGTATCAGATTTGGCATTAGACAGGCAGTTTCTGAAAACAAGAAATTTTGTTGTAAACCGGGTAATGCCAACATCCTTATAATCCCGGTCGAAGTCGTAGATCTAAGTGTTTAGAAGAATGAAATTGAATTAGTATATATTCTTTCAAATTGACCGAAAAAAATCCAATAAAGATATAAAAGTAGGGAATTAGAAGTGAATCATGATATTCTCAGGTTCATAGCAACAAGGACAAAATATAACAACTAAATTAAAAAAAGATCAGTACAGCTTTTCCATGACAAGCAGGTATAATAAAATTGTAGATTTCATGTTGTGAGGATGGAAGAGCACAATAATTGATGTAGTAATGCATTCTATATAAAGTCGATGGAGAAAGAAACACAGAAGGATAAACAGAGAGAGGGAAAAATTCTTACCATGTCATTGATCTCGATTTCTGAAAATGCTTTACCATCAAGGATCATGCTCCAAACAACTTTGTTAATTTGCATACATATGCGCATAGCATAAGAAGGACTTTTGTTCTTCTCCTTCTCCATTAACCTCTGTTGTGCAGCTTTGCGCATTGCCTCTCTTAGTGATGCACATGCTTCCTTCGTAAATTTTCGCGCATTTACATGTTCCCTTTTCAGTTCTTGGACCTGATAGTGTTGGACATGGAAAAATTTCATTACACATGCAAATTTTTCATATCCTAAAATCAGCATATAACATCAAAAGTGGTATACACATCCACATTTGAAAACAAGTTTTGATCATCTGGCAGATCATGGCCGTGAAAACGTATAGGCTTTAACTATCTCTATCACTAAGCTAGATTTTGCATTCTTTTTCCGAGTGGTTAGTCATTATGAATCATCTCCACAGATCACCAATTGGATGGCTTTTATTCATATCGTGATATATCTAATGGGAGGAGCCTTGGCATTGGTGTCTGTACAAAGATCAAACACATGCTACAGTGAACAGTTTCTCCAATGTTGTTCTGTATTCTATGTGGATAGAAGATTCACTTTTTGCTAATGTGGCCTTGTAGGAGCAACCTTTTCTCTTGGAGAAGTAAGAAACAAAGTGATCTCTCTACAACCTTTTTGTATGAGAAAAGATTCAGGGATACTGCACTTGTGTGTACTGACAAATACTTTATATTTACAACAAGTTAGGCATGATTAACATATATGCTTCAACTCTTGGAGGGGATAGGGAGTACTGTAGAATAGCAATTAATTTATATTTATTAGGTTATTGTTGAAACTATAAGGATTTTTGTAGGAAAGGAAAGGACAAGATAAAGATAAAGTAGAGAGGCATTCTGAATCTGATTTCATTGGTGTAATTCGATATACAAAGCATGAGCCCATATTATACTGATGCTACACTAAAAATCAATTTTAAATTAAAAAAAAGAAATAATTTGTACCTAATCCTACGATTTAAGGATTTTTAACAAGATTCATTTCTTACCAGCTTGGCTATTCCACCGTCTATTATCCACAAGTCTGCTTCCTCTTGTGGGTTTGAATTTCTTGAAAGGTCATGCCAAAGAGACAGTTTTCTTATGTCATCAAGAATCAAATTTTGTACCCTCTCTTTCTTTTCAACGTTGATTTTTTCAAGTTCCACCTCTTCAACACCATCTGGTACTACCTCATCTGCAGCTTCTTCGTTCTCTTCATCATCTTCGGCAAAAAGTGTCATGCTACTTTTTTTAGGCCTAAAATGTGCATGATATACTTAGTTAATTTAGAGGACTCTTCATACAGAGCAGAACATCTTGGATTTAATTCTTTAAGGGAAAAAAAGAGACTGCATCAATGTAAGAATCATATAATTCGATTTCCTGGATTATCTAAATTAAAACAAAATTCATGAATGAGAAACATGTCTTCTTGATGATTAATTTAAGAGTAAGTGAACAGAAATTTTTGATAGAAAACCATTGCAACATCAATGAACATCATATCATATTTCTCATATGCCTGCTACTAGACTAAACTGTTACCATGATAAGCTATTCGTTTGATATTATTTTAAATTTCATGTTAAAACCAATTGATATTAAGTCTAGTTGTCTAACATATATATAAGCCGCATTCCTAGAATTGATGTAAGTGATCGGAACATTCCAATATAAACACCGTTTCAGGTAGAAATTATAGTGATCCTACCAGTGCAGTCATTTTAGACGGAGACCAAATTATTGGATACTAAAAGGTGTAAACATACAGGAACAACAGATAAAAGTAGATTTATAACGAGTATAAAGCAATAGAGGTTATCCATACTTGGGAACCCGTGCAAGGAGAAGATTGGACAGCACATCCAGGATAACCTGAAACTGGCGAGATGTCATTGTTGCTGTTATATTATGAGAATTGAAGCTGAGCTCCTTCAAGGGTTTCACCTGCAGTATTAAAGTATGAATTTGACAGATTATTGATCACCATAGACAAGACAAAAGAAAACAAACTAGTGTAAAACACTCTTTTCTTTAAACAAACCTTTAAACTTTATTGTCAAAATGGTATAAAAAGATTTAGCACAAACTACATTCCCCAAAAGAATATGGAAGAAATTAGCAATAAAACAATGTAAAAAACAGATATATAATTTATTCAAAATTGTCCACGTACATAGCATAAATATTAGAGAGGTGGCTGTTTCTATTATCCAAATCTGTGGCAAATCATTCAGCACAGAAGTTCATATAAAAGACATCATCTGACAAGGATCTTTGGATTTTACAATGATACAAAAAGAATTACCTTCAGTTCTGGAGTTCCTCCTTTATGCCTTGTGAACTGAAAGTACATATCACAAGGCATAAAAACTCTCTCAAGAAGAGCGCCTGTACGCATTACTTTTGGAGATCCTCTGAGAATTTTTGGTAGCCATTGCACTCCAGCCCCTGGATCAACATCTGTTGGTGCGACATGGGCCTGCACATGCTCCAACATGACAGACAACTCCCATCTTTTCCATGCAATTTCAGGCTGGTATTCACTACTATTTCCATCAGTAGTATTAACTGCTTGCTCGATCATCTCGTAACCAACTTGAAGGACTGAGTGATATGACTGGGCTAAAATGCGGCCACTTACAGCAGCAAGCAAAAACCTTCCCTATAAAAGTATGAAGACACACATAATCTTGGCACATTGTTTTGAAATTTATAAACAAAAACACATGAAAATAAAAGGCAAAAAACACATTTTTGGAAATCCGCCCTAATCGTTGTCACTCCTAGCCTGGATTATTTGCAATCTATCACAGTTGGTGGTCAATGCCTTGGAAAGGGCTATCTATAGAGGGATGACCAGAAAGACCCTGTCAAGTGTCATTGAGTGTAGCTTCCAGGTAGTTGGTTCCCAAGGAACTAAGATCCCATAGTGCCTATCATGTAGAGGTATATGACAGATGTAGTCTTTATAAAAACTTGGGCAGTTCTCATCTTATAACGCAGTTTTGTAGGATTAAGTTGGACTTTAAGCCTATATTCTAAGATGAATTCCTTTATAGAAGAGAAGGTCTATTAGATCATAAAGAGAGAAATGGAAGAGAAGAGGGAGAAAACTTAAGAGAAGAGAAAGATGAAGAGGATAATGGTAGAACATCAATTGTTACATTGTTGAATATTATTATTAAATCAGATAAAAAAGACAAAATATAGCAATTGGACGTGATCTAGAGTGAGAGACTTGGTAGTGAAACTTTGTTGTCCAAACTACAAGGAAATCACAACAAGCTCCCTTATTGACTCAGAACGGAGAATGAACAATTATAATTAGGGTTGTATTCTAACTCAAAAATTGTCAATAGAATACATGAGACACGCTCTTCATAATTACACAATTATCCTAAACAAACTAACAGGAAACAGAAAACCAAAGCTGTCCGCTGTTCCTCAGAATAAGATATGTTGAGAAATTTGAATAAGATCTCTGCCCATAAGCTCTATTTAAATGAAAAAGTATTTAATAACTTACGTTTGCATCCTCTGAGTGAAGATTAAACTGTGGTTCAACAATATTAACCATGAAGTGTCGAGTCCCCTCCTCTAGCTCATCAGCATTCTCATTTTTAGCTGACAATAAACCAAAAAGGAATATAAAAGAGGGTAAAAAAACTGTTAGTAAAAATACCAAGAACAAATGACGATTCACAACTTATTTATCAAGTATCTCTGTCAAGCAGTGAAAGTACTATTGTGACACGAGGCATATGTAGTGATGCATTTGCTTTTTTAGTGTGTTTTATTTTGCTTCTTGCATATAAATTTCCTGAAACATATGACACATACTAGATGCCAAGTTGTCCACATTATCCACATTTGGTGGGGTTGAAGGTAATTCAGGATTTTTGGCAGCCTCAGAAGTGGGGGACTCCGAGGTGCTATTGGTGTTAAGGGACGCAGAAATTTCAACTTGATGGGTCTCAGCTCTTTCATCTTGACTGGTTTCAGCCACATTGTCTTGTTGGGGTTCAGCTTCATCATCTTTACTGACTTCACCACTATCATCTTGAGGAACTTCAGCTCCATCATCTTGATGGACTTCAGCTCCATCGTCTTGAGTAGTTTCACCTGCACCGTCGTGCTCAGTTTCAGCTGCATCTTGCTTTTTCTTCTCCTCATGTAGTTTTCTCTGTGTATACTTCCGAGAAGGAGAAGGCTTGGCAGGGGCACAGGCTTTGGCAAGACCAGCAACCCAGAAACAAATAGCATTTCTGTTTTCAATATTCCACAGAAGTTTGAGACCATAGACAAACACTCGCTGACAACTGTCTGCTATTATCACATTGTATCCATCATCATCACTATGGTCTGATTGCGCATTCTCATCGGTTTCAATCCGATTTTCACGCTGAGGTCGTACATAGGTCTTGTCAGAATGAACTTTTCCTGATTCATGCCAGGCTACCAAAGTTTCAGGATCAGCCTTTGGGGATTGCTTTCTTACCGTGAAGTAATCACCGGATAAAAGAAATCCATCATCAGGATTTTTCTGTGTCATGCAACCTTTTTCAGAGGAAACTTTATCCTTGGATGCAGCTTGTGAGCTTTTTGGTGTCATGCTAATCAATTTAGCAATACTGCTAGAGTCTTCTTTGCTAAGGAAAACTTTGGGCATGTGAAGGTCAATACCTTGATAAACAAGATCAAGATTGCCACGTTCGCATTCAAAAGTAAACTTTTGCTTGCCCCTCCCAAACATTACTTCAACCTTGAGCTTTGTCATAGAGAAGGTCAGTCCTTTGGCTGGATCATCATCATGTAGATGCATGTTCTTCATACGAATTGGGGTGGCATCTATACGCATCATAAACTCAGTAATTACCTTGTCCAGTGGAAGGTTGCCTGATCTGAGAATTCTTGGAACACCGTAACGGGGCCAACGTGAGAACATGCGCAGTTTATGTGGGGGAAGGGCGTTCAAGGTACCAAATTTTATAAGCCATGCTACATCATGAGCACCTAGATTTATTGTTGGTGAAACATTCTCAGAAGTGTGAGGAGGCTGATGAACATTAGCATCTCCTTCTGTAGATGGAGGAGGAAAGGCTCTAAATGATATGTTCAATTGAATCGAAAGAGCAGTGGATCTGAAGGGGTCAAATATGAACTCGCGAGGCTTCCCTTCAATTGGAAGTGAAAACAAATAATGATTCAATGGCTTCTCAGAGTCACAACCCCAATCCATTGCAACGTCAAGTATAAAAACTGGGACATGAAAAAATGCACCAGAAACACCCGGTGGAACTTTGGAACCATGTTTGTTTGCCATACTCTCCAAACTGCTCACGTAAATGTTGAAATCTTCAGCAGAAAGGAAAATGCGACCATCTGACTGTTGAATTTCCATAGAACCAGTCGAAATTAAAAGTTTATCAAACTTTTCATAAGGATCCGTAGTTCCCAAAATATTCCAGCAAGTTTCAGAAAATAGTAAGGTAATTCTTCCATGAACGTAGTTTCTCATGTCATCCCACCATGGCAAACTCTTCTCCTTTTTGGGTGGCAAAATAAGTGGACCAGGAGTCTTAACACTTAGATTAGCCCTCCGTAGCACCACAGTAAAAGCATAACTAATATCAGCAAAAACTGGTTCGTAACCCACCCCATATGACACTTCACCTTTCTGGAAAGCTAATGTCAAATCTGTGTATGTCTTCATCGGCGGAGTAGTACCGGTGGCTGATCGAAGCATGCATACCTTTCTCCACTCCCCAACAAAGACATCTTGAAGCATTTGAGGTTGAAAGCTAGTTGCCTACTTGAAAAAAATCGAAGAATAATGCCCAAGAATTATTATCAGGTTAATCATCATCTAGTTAATCCACTCAATAGCATAAAAGAAACAAATACGAAGTTCAATTCAAGTAACATGTAGCTTAAGAGGAAATATGTAAATTCATGTAGCTTAAGCATGGCAATTTATCACAATAAGTAAACATAAAAAAATAAAGGAACATATAGACTATAGAATGATGAAAATAATTATATTGCTTCATATTACCTGCTGAGCCATCACAAGACGACCTTCACATTTCCCAGAAGTTCCAGCAAAAAGAGGAAATGTGTAATCTCGAATTTGAGCCACAAGAGAAGCAGTGTTTAAGAGAATGTTTGCTCCATACAGTCTGGAAAATGGTATCTCCAATTCAAGAGCAACAGGATCAAGCTTCCTAACAACTTCAATCATCCCATCTTCTCCACCTTCAATTAATGTCAAGGTTACATCTAAGTCTGCTGCAGCTATTGTAAGAAGAGAAGACCTTGATGTACTAAGTTTGAAACCATCTTGAAGTTCATCATCTTTATAACCACCTGATCCTTCATAAAACGCTATGTTTTGGCATGACTGGTAATATGATCGGAATGCTCGTTGATAAATTTCATCTCGCATTATTTCAAGATCTGAAGGATTGTTTATATCAACCTCAACATCATTGAAATAAACTTTTTTTTCTTCAGGAGAATTATTGGTGTCATCAGTAGAGTTTGGATCTTGCTTAGCCTTGGATATAAGCTCATCTAAGAAGTCTACCCGAACAGCTACTTCACCAACCTCCTTCTTCAATAGTTGATAGTGTTCATCAAGCCATCCCTGGATTGGTTCCTCTTCAATATCAAAAGTTAACTTGCGTAGGAAAAACTTCACACATCCAAATTTTACTGAACTAGGCTTTTTAGCTTTAGAACTGTCTTTCTTCACAGGAAAAATCATGTTGGTCTTTGCAGCAACAATAAGCTTCAATGCACGCAACATGTCCTCTAAAGCATCATCAATAGCACGCAATTGCAATCTGTATGGCATACAAATGTGAACATGAAGACCTTGAATTACCCAATCCCATATTGTAGGTCCTTTTGCATCAGATGCACCAGCAGCAGATTTACTAGGAATTCGTGAAAGTTGCATCCGGCTACTCTTGACGATTCTGACCCCATTAAAATTAAACAAGAGTCCTTCAAGGAGCACTCCTATACGAGCATTCTCAGAGAAAATTGACTGCACCTGAACCATAACATCAACTCCATCTCCTAGCTCAGCAGCTATATTCAACATTTCTACATCAACAGCAAAAACAGAATCTTTCTTCTTTTCAGAATGTCCTGATGGAACCGGAATTTCATTTTTCTTATTAGAATCTTTTTCATCAGGCACGCCATCTTGAACTTGTTCACTACCACGCTCCCGAAGCTTCGAATTGTGTAATGCTAATTTTAGCTGCAAAACCAGTTCAATTAGTGATAGATGTACATCAGGCTCCCACTTCAAATTAATCTCTCTGGCACTGAAAAGAGAACATGCAGCATTTTCTTTAATGCCACCTAAACGTTGTACAAATTTTATATTTTGTATGTCAAATAATGCCACCTTTGATACTGGCCTAGTTTCATCATAATATTCCTGATAGATAGATATGGCCTTTTCAAGTTCTACCTGTTTGGATCTTTTTTCCTTGTTCACACTCAACTTCAAATTTATGATTTGAAGAGAAATACAGTACTTCAGCTTCTGGTACTCAGTGGAAACAGTGGAGATTACATTTGCAGTGCGAGGGGTACCATCTGCTGACACACTTATTATAACTCTACCACCCTGAGAACCATAATTAACTCTCTTGGGATCTGGAACAACTGCGTTTTCTATTCCAGTTTCCCCCAATACATACACTGAACACTGTTCAAGACCGAATTTCATCATTTGAGTTCCCTTTCCAGAACTTTTTGATGAATGCGTCCGGGTCTGTGTGGTTTTTTTCTTTGGACCAGAAAGGCTTTTAAATAGAACTTGAAAGGATATTGCTGTTGATACGAATGATTCTACACGCTCAAAACTTAGATAAATTCCCATGCCACTCACAACAGCTGATAAAATTAGCACACACTTAGGAGCATCTTTTTCAGAGGATTTAATGTCCTTTTTGCCCCAATCGACAGTCACCTTTGCAATGTGCAAAATGGAGGCAGACTTGCATTCAGCACCAAAAATGCTTTCTTCCAAGCATTCTTGGTTTTCATTAGCCATTTTGAGGTTTAATGGACCAAGTTCAGCATGCACTGTAGTTCCCATCTTCGAAGTGTTGTTTGCAGATACATGTGTTGATTGTAAGCAACCCTGGATTTGGAAACAAATAAACTTCAATTGTCTTTTTAATCCGAAACATTTGAATTAACATATAACACAAGTTCGTCCAATAGAGCTTAAAATGGTCAAACATGAAGATATAATGACTTGAGCAAAAGAAATTTAAAGAGTCAAAGATACGAAACAATAATCCATCCATAGCTTTCGTTGACGGAAACAATCAATATGGTGCCATTCCAACAAAATACTCAAAAATATCCCACAATCATCCTTTCAACAAACATGTCTCTCTTAATAGTTTATTCTAATCAATAAAATATGAACTTATTACTTAAAAAAATATTTTTTATAAAAATTTAATACTTTTAAGTTACTATATAAAAATGGAAAACGTATTAAATATTATAGGAATTAAAATCAATATTTTGAAATTTTTAAAAGATAAAATACTTTGTAATGATAGTATATCATCATTAGTTTGTTTTTCGTTGACATGTTTTCATTAATAATTTAAAAAAAAGTCACCTTGTTTTCACTTCATTTCCTGTTTTCAAGAATCTGCAAAGGAGAAAAGAAGTGAAAATAAGGTGACATTTTTTGTAATTATTTATAAAAATATATTGAAAAAAAATAAAACTAAAAAACAAACCAAATAGACCCTTTAATAGAAAAATAATACACAATTATGATCTTTTCAATGTTAGACCCACAAACTCTCACGTTCCTCACATTTTGCTTGTACTTAATTAAGGTGTTAGAGACAGCAAATTATGAACCTCTCGCAGTACCAGAACCAAGTCCAAATGTAATATTCGAGATTTATTGTCAAAGAATAAGTTTTATTATAGAGGAAAGAAGGGAAAATGTGAGGGAAAAAGATAGCAATGCATGATTTAAGGGTAAGTTTGAAGATCAAATGATCTCACAATATATATATATATATGGAACTTTTTGATATCAAGTTTGAGGATGTGGAACTTTTTGATATCAAGTTTGAGGATGCAATAATCTCTGCTAGAAGCTGTTTGGATATTTTGATATCAGTTTAATTTTAAGTAACTTCTGAACTACTTTTTCTATCACCCCAAATACATAACTATAAGAAAATTAATATGATTTGATTTTGATCTTATGCATTGTTGATGCTGGTGTAATACTTTCTCCTGCTTCAAAGAGATATCTGCTTGCATAGATATAAAGGAGTGTCAATTCAATCTCTTATTATTTAAAATTAAAAGCAAATATTTCTGACAATCAGTATTGTTAAGGTTCCAACATAAAACTAACATATATTTAAATCATACCAAATGACATGAGGTAGGCGATGTGAGACTTTCAACCTGCAAGACCAGATAAAGGGTACTTTTGATCCAACTAACAGGTTTTGGCCCATGACAATAACCGGAAAGATGTTAGGCTTTGGCTCTGATACGATGTTAAGGTTCCAACATAAAATCAATTGGCAATATGTGGATTAGCCTAACACTTATTTAAATCATGTCATTTGGAACTTTCAACAAGTATGAACACGTCCAATGCACAAATCCATTTCAGTTTGTGGTGAAATTTAACAGAGTTGTGAAGAATGGGAGCAAAAAGGGTTGATCACATACAATTTCCAGAACATCTAGAAAGTCTTACAAGACATGAAATTGGCAGTACATATGTTGTAGAATGTGAGAACCAATGTTTTGTTTTATTCGTTACATTGTAAAATTGTTAAAGCTTGTTTTAGTTCATAAATAACAACTACAAATGCCAGTACTTACATGATATAGTGAAGAACCAGCCATATTGAAAAGCATTATTGTGAACTCCGAAGTCGACAAATTACATGTCCACGCGATGACCTTACTATCATCAGTTGATTTTGGTTTTACAACAGGAGCTTCTTCTCGGATAACCATTTTTTTCTTCGGAGGTGGTTTTAGGAGCAACCAAGGTTTTATTCTGTTCATTACGATGTTGCATTGTAAACGCCCAATCTTAATGTCTGTTTCAGCTCTAATAAGCTTAACTGACTAGAGGAAGGGACCCAAAAAAAAAAGTAAGTTTGCACATAAAATACAAGATAAAATAATTATACAAAATTTTATTTTATTAATAAATTATAATTGATAATTCAAATATATTAGTTGTAAAAGCAAAAATCTTAAATGACTTAAAAAAAAAAAAAGTTAGAATGGTTTACACAGTTGTAATAATGTAACTTACCTGTACAGGAATATATACAAAAGAAGCCAACTTTATTCCCAGTATCTCCAGTAAGGAAGTACCAACTTCTTTAAACAGCTGTAATAATGTCAATAGAACAACATTGAAAGTTGTTAGCAAGAAGAAGAACAAAAAATGGAAAATCAACAGACACATACATTAATTTCACCAAATTCGAGTTGAAAATGAAGACGCGTGCTCTCCCCAATGTCTTTTGCGGGTAGCGATTTGACGCTTTTGAATTGGATGCCCCCGATGTTATTTTCAGCTAAGAGACTCCGTTCACGGTGCACAAAAGTCACACTCACCTTTGACAAATTAAAGTTTATCTATATTGAAAAAAAATAAAAATTACACAGTTGACATTTAACCCACTTGAGAACCTTACCATTGCACCAAGGATTGGGAAGTATATGAGAACGTTACAAAAACAAAGCATGTTTAATTTCCTTACCTTTTGAGGAATCTTAGCAATAATGCCTACAATTTTTTCCCTCTTGTTGGAAGGTTGCTTTTTGCTAGGATCAACATCTGATCCTATTTTTTTCTTGGAGTCAGAAGAAGATTCAGATGAACTCTTTTTCACAAGCAACCCCTCATTCAAATTCACAGTGATATCTCCAATGGAAATGTTCACATTCTTTATAATTATGCCTATTTCCCTGCATCCAAAAGGAGAAGAAAAATAACTACCAAATTGAGGAACAAATGATGCACCACTTAAATTGCGAACCAAACCAAAAGAAATTTTGGTTGTTTTGGAATTATCAAATGTAGATGCAACAATTCAACATTTGTCAAACTCATAGTTTGTTTTTCTAATAAATTAATTCACAATAGATGTATAATATATATGTATGTACATTACAATCTCCCCTTAGTTGAAGCTTATCACCTCAAAACTCCTATTGCCTTCATAAGCTTTTACACCATATCACTTATGAAAACCTTGCATACAAATCCATTTCCTTTTCTCTAACTCAAATAAGTGAAGAGCATGATTAATATTTGTACAAGAAAATTAGTACCCATCATGGCCAGCTACACATGAGACAGAGAATTTTTCACAGATAAAAGTAGCACATGTCTTTTCTGCAGAAGAGTTTTCTGTAGAAGCAGTAGATTCTTGGGTAGAAGTATTGCTTCCTCCACCACTAGATTCTGATAATTGATTACTAACTTGAGGCTCTTTAATGTTAACAACAATGGGTAGTATTTGTAGCCTAACTAGCAAATCTGACTCTGATCCAGCATCTATAGATATGTCCACATCCAACTTCCCAATCTCAAGAGTAAATTTAGGTGTCTGCAATATTCAAAAGACATTCTCAATGTCCAAGAGAATATTTTCAAATAAGATGTCAGTCCTAGTAGAATTAAAACAAAACACATACAAGTTAATTTAAATGTACATGCAGATATGCCATATTAAACTGTGTTTTACTCGTCATAATAAGCATAACAAATTAATATATAGCAATCATTCTAAATATGTAAATTATTACAGATTATACAAAAAATCAAAGACACCATTAGTGAAACTTTGAAACTAAATTCATGTATGTTGGGTCAAACAAAAAAATTGAAATGACACAGAAATGCATACCTTCAAAACCAAATTTGTCACACAAAGTGACAGATATCGTGCAATTTTGCTTATAGTCTTCCACTTTCCCTTTCCCTTGCCAGAAGAAGATCGACCACTAGATTTTTTAGGTTTCTTCTTCTTTATCTCAGAGCTTTTAATTGGAGGTCGTGTAACAACTTCTAAGTTGCATATTATTAATTGCAACTTTGGGTCCCAAGACCTACGACCCACACCATGTTCAACCAAATAACGACGAAAGCTAAGTTTAATTTCACCAATATATAGAGATTCAACAGCACCCTGAAAATGTCATAAATTGAAATAATATATTGACATGGGTCTCAAAGACAAAGAAACATGGCAATCATTAGAATAAAAACAAAGAATTTGAACCGAATTTGCAAATGGGTTGTATAAATAAAAAACTAGATCAATAGTGGATTCTTTTTTATTACTTGCATAGTCAAAATGTGGAAGCTTTCTTTTAGTGGTAGATTCTGTAGTTACCAACCAATTGTTGTACATCACTAAGTGTGTAATTACATAGAGAATGGTATCTCAAATCATTCATACACCAACATAAACTACAATAAAAGTGGCCATGAAACTGTTACCAAGGTAATGCCTTCGTCAAATCTTGAAATGTTATAAGAAATTTGTTGGAAAATTTAACTAACTTACCATCATATGGCTTGATGTCTCTTATGTTGTAAATGTTTGATATCTTTTGTGTTGTAAATGTAGTTAGACAATTTTTATTTATTTAACCATGCAATATAAACCAATTACAATAAATAAATTCAATGAATGAGTAACTTTTAATATTTCAAGCTGTTTGCTGCTAAAATTTGTAACATGGAAATAAGAAATAACGTAGTGAATAAAAAGGTAAAGAAGAACCTTTTTAAACTTCAATTCCACGTCTCTTAAACTGTTACATCCACCAACGCAAAATCCAACAGATGCACCAAGTACCCGACTCAAAACCCAAGACAACAATGCAAAAAAACATCTGATATAAAATTTGTAATCAGAATTACATAATAAAATAGTTCTGACACAAAAATTCTCTATTATACTAACTATAATGAAAATAAAGTAATTGTAACATAACATTCAACTTGAACCACAAAGCATATAAGATTACATTTAACCTCTCAAAACTATTAGAGTACTTTTTCATATTATGCTAAACTAAATTGTGACATGATAGGTGACAATTTCATGTATCACAACATCATTACGAGAGTTTCATCTTTTATTTTAAAGTAATCAAGTTATCTCTTAAACCATGTGATCGAAACATGAATTGTAAAACACTACCAAAAAATATAAATATAACAGTGTAATATATTACTATATAACAAAGAAAAACTTTAACGTTACTTGTCAATAGTATGAAATTTTTATGCTTAAAAACACCAATATAAGGATGTTGCAACTTGCAACTCATAGTATTACACTTAATAATAAGGTGTCTTAGTCAAGAAAAAATTATGGGATAAAACAATAATTTTTATGTAAATATTTTAACTTTATAATTTATTTTAATTTCTATATTTTTAATGTTTGGTCATGATTTTTTATAAATTTGAAAAAAAAATGTGGCAATCCCACTACTCATTATATATAGAATGGGTAACAAGTATAAAATTTAATTTAAAGAAATAAAAAAATAATACTATAACGATCAAAATTTAAATTTATAAAATAATAAAAAATAAAACTAACTTTCTGAGGCATAAAAAATAAAATAAAAATTAAGGTTTACTATAAGAACTGAAAATATAAATAAGTTTACTTTAAAAACATAATGTTATAATGTCATAATGTCATAATAATAATCTATGAGATAAAAAGACATTTAGCACATGTTCCATGTTAATTAATATCTTAATATATGTTAGTTGGGGCTTAAATTCAACATAAATTATCTTTGTATTCCATGTTCATCTCACTAACTAATGGCACTCTACACTTCCCATCCTTTTTTTTTTCAAACGCCACCAAAATTTTCATGAATATATTTGACAGTGATTCTCAATCGACAATGATTTAGTTGAAAAACTTGCAACAACTTCCAACTAGTTTTCCACCAAACTATTGTTTTTTCCAACATTTTACACGAAGTATTGTCTTTGTTAATATTTTTTAATGACATTTTCTTTTCTATATCATAAATAATCTACAAACTCATTTTTTTTCTTTATGTTCTTATAAAACCTATAAAAAAATATCTCTACAAATAATTCTTAACAAAAGTTACTTAACAATAAAATTAAATATTTTATTATAATTCTTGAATATAAATATTACTAAAGATTTAGTTAGAGTGATTTATATAAATAATTTTCTTATATTTTTACAATTTAAATATAAAATTTATAATAAAATATTTATTTTTATTCTTAAATAATTCTCTATCGAGATAAACTAATTAATATCATCTCATGTAAACCCTTTACGATCATGTCAGGTCTTGATATGAAAGGCTTGAAAAACCACATTAGCAACGTCATATTATTTTTTACTAACAAAACCTATTAGACATTTTCATTCCTACTCAAATTCCCAACAAACTTTGTACCATTCATATTGGTTTCAACCTAAAACGGCTAACAAGTATTCAAAATTCAATCTTACCTAGTAATATTTGTGTACATGATACATTATAATAAAAATAATTACCTAAAATACAATAATAATTGAAAGTCATGATTAAATTTGATAAATTAAGCACGAAAATCCTATTTATAAACAAAAAAAGACAGTGTTTGAAGGCTTACATGAATAAAACCAACAACGTGGTACAAAATATAGTGAAACCATGGAGGAAATCGGTCGGAGAAACTTCCATTTTTACTCGACGTGAAAAGTCACTTCTATGTCGAAAAGGACACTAAGAATTGAAGCACCGTCTCATAAGCTTCTCAAAATGCCATAAGATGAAAGAGAAACATGATTCTTCAATCACATAATACCATGGCGTAATGTGCCAAAGAATTGGAATGGAAAAGATCTCTAAATTAAATTTTTGCTTCAAAAAATGGTGTAAAATCCAGACTCATTATTTAAAACATGGAGTGAGTGTTTTACAATTAAGATCCGCTCCGTGAGGTGCTCAATGATCAAAGGCGTGCCACTAATCTATCGCTATTGTGATTTAATTTATTATAAAAAAGAATAGAAAATTTTGAAATTTTTTGAAAACAATTTTCTTCACCTTCAATTTTATTTAAAGTACACAATATTTTTAGCTCTCGAATTAATTACGTAATATATTATTGATTTATTTGTTTACATAAAGATTAATTGAGAGGAATTTATTCTTAATCAATATCATACACCATGTGAGAATATTGATCACTATTTTCTTAAAAGAAAAAATATTTCATAAAATTAGTCCAATTTGACAAATTTAATTAAAAGACTTGCTGTCCAATAATGAATAGTTTAAAATTGATTTGAATATTTTTTTTAATATTAAAGAAATTGATAAAATAAATTAACAACAATAATAATAATATTTTGATTCTTTGTAAACAATAAAAACCCCAACTTAAAAAAAATTAAGAAAAAAAAGTTCACCACGTCCCAATCTATTAAACATCTTCAAATAAAGTTACTTAAAAAATTATTTATAAACAAAAAATATTTTAATATAATTTTACTATGCATTGCGAGAATGTGAAATATTTAACAACCAAACGAGCTAATTACACCAAATTTTAAAAAGGAAACCATGGATATTGTGTTGTTGAAGATAAAAAGACACGATTTTTTATTAAAAAGGAAAAGACGCAAATCTAATTGGTAAATCTGTCAATCGTAAAGGGTATTTATTATTTAATAAAATCTGTGATTAATGCATTGCTTCATCCACGCATGGCACACGTCACGGCATTTGTAAAAACACAAAGTTTCTTGGTAAGGAACAAAAAGATTTTTTATTTGTTTATTACAAATTCTATGTAAAGATATTAAAAATTATTTTTATTTTTATTTTTCGTGTCTTTTGTTTATTTGTTTTCATTGGTTTAGAGTATCTAAGGAGAGTTCTTACTAAAAATTGTTTAAAAATAAAAATAAATATTTTATTATAAATATGATATTAAATTGGGAATAAAATATTAAACTTTATTCGTAAGAAAACTACGTGCTCTTATTTGGAAATAAGGAGAGATAAGACGAACAAGAGACCATGATTGATCTGACTTTTGGTCTTCGCCTTCCCAACTTCATTGATTCTTGCGTTGCTTCTCCATGAAGAATTTTTTTTTTCCTTTGGACTTGGGTTGAAGAAGAAAAGAAAACAATAGAGTTCAGATTGAAACAAACTAATGGGTTGGGAAGAACCACTTTACACTCTCTTAAGCAAATCACTCACTCTCCTTTCATGGTAAATTCAACTCTTCCCTTCTTTTCATTATCAGTTATTTCAAAATTTTATTATGTTCAAGCAAATTTAAGCCTTCTGATTTAGTTTTGTTAGGTTCTTATTTTCTAACGTTTGTGTCTGTTTTTTCTCTCTTGCACGCGAAGGCCTCCGTTTAGTTTGCTTTTTCCATTGTAAGTAGCTACTCCTCCGTACATGTAAATACGATACTAATAAAGAAAATATCCCATTTTGTTGTTAAATTACATTACCCTTTCATTCTATGAAGCATTCGCTGTTCTCTTCAAACTTCCATACGAAATTATTGTAGTAAATTGTTGCAAAAATCAAATTTAATGTGTTTTCCTAGTTTCAAAATTAGCCTTTTCTTTTTCCCTTTTTGAAGGTACAAGAGATGTATGAAATTGGTACCTAATTTTTTTTTTCCAGGTTTGTTTCTGTTCGTGCAGTGGAGAGTGACTCCCGTTCCAGCAACCAGCAATGCCTTGCATTTTGGGTTCTGTTTTCCTTGTCAATGATCGTGGAATGGGAACTTTCAGTTTTATTGAACTGGTATTTTTTTGCTGAGAATTTAATTGATAATTTGAGAAACTCATTTCTATCTGAAGTGTAGTTAGTTGAACTCTTGAACTCGTTTAACTGACTGTTCATGCACACTGTAATAATTTTAATTCAAACAACCTTAATCAATTTTTTGTCATTTTTTTCTTAACTCTTATACAGTAATTCCATAACATTTCCCGTGTGAATACAGATCCCTTTTTTAATATAAACATTCATGTTTTTCCCTCGTTTTCCTCGAGTCTTTAAAGTCCAACATTCTCTTCCATGGAGCATAACTAGTCATATCATTGATAATATTCACTTCTATCGAGTACAATTGAGCAATATGATAACCATCGCTTCGATAGAGTACAACTGGTCAAACAGTAATTGACTAAAATTTTCCCATTTTAACCACTCGGCTTGTATCACACGACATCTTCATCACTTTTACCATTATTTTGGAATCTTGATCGCAAATACTTTAACTAGTACTCTTTTGGTATGGCATCTTGTTCAATT